CTAATCTATCATCAATCTATCATCTATCTATCTATCAATCATCTATCTCTATCATCTATCTATCTATCTATCTATCTATCTATCTATCTATCTATCTATCTATCTATCTATCTATCTATCTATCTATCTATCTATCTATCTATCTATCTATCTATCTATCTATCTATCTATCTATCATCTATCTATCTATCTATCATCTATCATCTATCTATCTATAATCTATCATCTATCTATCTATCTATCTATATCTCATTTATCGACTATCATCTATCATTATCATCTATCTTTTTTTGTCTTTTTGAGACTGGATCCCCAAGTGGCCTGGAACTCTCTATGTAGACTAGGCTGGTCTTGAACTCACAGAGATTCACCTACCTCTGCCTCCTAGGTACTGGGATTAAAGTCAATCTCACCCCTCTTTCACCTCATTTCCCCCTTACCTCCAGCTTTGTCCTCACTGTATGGTCTATAGCAATACTTAACTACTAGAAGGTATGTTTTGGGCTGTGTACTTAGCTATGCATTTGGAAGTTATTAGAAATAGATACTAGGGTTAAAAAATCATCCTGTTCCTGGTGGAAAACAGGCTTAAAGAGGTCCACTTGACTAAGGCCACTCGAGGTCAGGAAGTGGGCTTCAGGCTGCAAAGCCAGAACTCCAATCTCATGCCCAGCCCACACTGCAACTTTGTACAGGGCCTCCTTTGGAGCCACTCTCCCTGAGTGTTAGGCAGCAGTGCCCTAAGATAACCCCGTAGCTGTGCCCTTACCTGGCATGTGGAGATGAGAGTGGCAGTGGCTGTGCCATGGCAGTCCTTGAGCTTGAGCAGATCAAGCCACTGTCTTCACTCACATGTTTGAGACGGCGAGTAGAGCCTGGTCTTCACTGTGCTCCATGGACATGGCTCCTCCTCGGTCACCTCCATACCATCCTTGTACCAGAACACTTTGGGCAATGCCCTTGCCTAGAAGGGCACCTTGCTGTGGGCTGAGTGGCCTGCCTTCACCATCACAGGATATGCAGCTGGTGGCTTCAGGATTGACGGGTCAATGGTAGGAGGATCTGCAGTGCAGGGTGTCAGGGGACTGGGGAGGAACTGGTAGCAATGGGGGAGAGGCTGGCATGTGGACAGGCCAGGCAGCCTTGAACTGTTTGCCTTCAGCAGACCCTACCTGTAGCGGACACTGAGGCTTCGCTTTCCTACCTTCGGCCTGGAATGTGTATTTGCCCACATGCTCTTAGCCCATGTTGGGGAAGATGAGCTTGTGTACGGCACCCTGCTTCACTATCAGCACACCATGCAAACCTGTGATCTGGAGGCAAGGGGCAGCATGAGGCCGTGCATGGGCCAAGCTGACTCCCTTCACACCTTTCCCTGGCCCCTGCCTCAGACCCCCTGGCCGTCCTCCAGCCACATGCTTCCATTTTCTCAACTACACACAACTCAGTCGGATTCCCAGTGGCTGCGTGTGCATCTGTCGTCCCACTCTTCACGGTGGCTAGACACTCTGGGGAGGAAGAAGGGCCAGGACTGGGTCAGGGTGTTGGAGTGAAAGGGAATTATGGCAGAAGAGTTGGTGGCACAGTCATGGGAGCAGTCAAGGGTGTGATGTCAATCAATATCATTTATGATGAGCAGATGGTTGGCAATGATTAGTAGGTGATGAGACACAGCAGCCAGGAAGAGGGGTGTTGGAGAGAGCTCAATGGCTTGGGGAATGGCATCCAGGTATACTGAGAGATGGTTAATAGGGTGCTGGTTAGAGGAGGATGTTCTACTGGGACTTAGGATGCACAGATGAAGATAGTTGAGATGTAGCAGTGGAGTTAGGCTATGTATCTGTAGTTATGCTGGTCTGTGGGATACTCAGGGTCATTGTGGTGGTCAGGGTCAGTGGGGAGTGGTTATGGTGAGGGAGCAGGGGATGGTCAGGATGAAGAAAGTTGGGATAACCAGGGTGGAAGAGGATGGTCAGAATTTGGAAGTAAAAGATGAAGTTAGGGAAACTTGGACAGAGTCTGAGAGATGGAGGAGGATGAAGGTATAAGAAGTATGAATGGTCGAGTATGAGAGATTAGAAATGGCTAGAGTTTAAGACATAGGGGCAACCAGAGTCTAGGGGGTGGTAAAGTTCATCATGGTCTGGTAGAGAATTGGAGCCAGGACAGGGCCAAATCAATACCCACTGTGGGAGAATGCTGGGATCAAACAGATTGGTCAGTGTGGATCAGCAAAGAGGGTGTGTACCTTCCTGCACACAAAGCCAGGCGCTTTCTTGGAGAGGTGGATCTTAAACCCAGCTCTGTGGCATTCTATCACCTTCACTGGTTTCATCTCTTCCATGAGCTCCAGGAGCTCATCTGCAGCGGAGCGAGAAAGAACATGGAGACATAGGTGTCACTAGCTTCCTGTAGCCCACAGCTGGGGGGAAGCACCTTCCTTTCATTGTACTCATTAACCCATCCTCTCCAAGGTCTCCCATGAGGTCTCCCTCCCCTCCAGTAATAATAACAGCAATAAAATCTCACTTCCATAGTATTCTATACATGACAAGCACTATTCTAATTAATTTTCACATAGCAATTCCCATGTAGGTAGAGTCTACGATGATCACCCAGTTTACAGATAGAGAAACCGAAGCAAAGAAGTTAAGGAACTTGCCCTAAATCACACATTCATAAGGAGTAGATGTGGAGACTTGAGCCCCAGTGGTCTACTTTCAGAGTCTGACTTCTCAGCCACTATGCTACACTCTCCCATGGTACTTACCACCTCATTGTTCTCCCTACATTCTGTGTTTCCTTTTTCTGGTGACTCCCACTCCATGCAGCCCTTCCCTGCATAGCCCACTGTCCTTTCTCCTGTGTCACCACTTTCATACCTAGCACTGTGAGCGCTCACGCCACAGTCATACACAGCACTGTGAGTGCTCACGCCACAGTCATACACAGCACTGTGAGTGCTCACGCCACAGTCATACACAGCACTGTGAGTGCTCACGCCACAGTCATACACAGCACTGTGAGTGCTCACGCCACAGTCATACCTAGCACTGTGAGTGCTCACGCCACAGTCATACACAGCACTGTGAGCGCTCATGCCACATTCAAACCATGTCCGCTCATCTCCCACAGTGAGGCTGTAGATGCTGGCGTCGCTCATGTTTATACTGGTAACAATCAGCATGTACTTGGTACCCACCTACCTCGCATCATACTTGCCCAGGGAGTACTGGATCCTCAGAGGCTCAGAATCCCACCTCAGGGAACAGGTAGGAAAGCTGATGAAGGGTTTAGCAGGAGACTTCTGAAATTCTCAGTCCCTAGAGTCAGCATGAGCTGGAGGGTGCATGTCCATCTCTTTAAACATACCCAGGGCAAAATCTCTCCAGCTTCATCATCCAGCTTGATGAGACCCAAGGCCCCTGTCACCCCACAAGGCCCACACTCTTAAAACTCATTAGAGGCTTTTCCTAGAGGCACAGAACTTCAATGACCATTAGAATGATCTCATTCAGGTTTTCTGTTTAAAGATGGATGGATTGAGGCACAGAAAGAGGAAAGTGACCATTTCTGACCAAAAGCAAAGTGATGGAATACATAAATATAAAGTCCAACTTTCAGCCTATTCAGTTGTATCAGAAAGCATCCTCTTGATTGGCCAATCAGGAGAGAACCAGTTTCTGGATAAAGAGAGGGTCTGAGAAGGCAGAGGGTGCAGAGGACCTGGCGGTGCCAGGTGGGCCCTAGCTAGGTGTTCGCTACCTTCATCCATATCATCCTCCTGTTGGGGTCCTTCAGCTCCACAGTGCAGTCAAAGACTACAGTGGTGTCAGCTTTGGTCTCTGCGTCTTTCAGGAGCTTCAGAATCCTAATGGCCTGAGAGAGTGTATCAACAAAATGCTAGAATCAGAGGCATCTGGACTCTGCCCAGGCTATTTCAACAGTTCCCAAGGAAACTCCTTAAGGGTCTGGGCTCAGTAGATAACACCTTCCTCTAAGCACATTGATCAGCTGAAAGATCTAGGAGAGGAACATGGTGGGAATTGAGAAAGGAATCACTATTCAAGAGAACAGTCATTATGTATCTGGGCCCAGGAAATAGATTCTGTAATTATAGTGTCAACACTTAATGAGAGGTGGTTGAGTGAACAAATAAGTGACACCACCACCGACATCACCACCACCCTCACTATCACCACCATCACCTCCTCCACCACCCCCGCCACCACCACCACCAGCACCACCACCATCACCACCACCACCGACATCACCACCACCCTCACTATCACCACCATCACCACCACCACCACCATCACCACCACCGTCACCATCACCACCACCACCCTCACCATCACCACCACCACCACCCTCACCACCACCACCACCACCACCACCACCACCACCACCACCACCACCACCATCACCACCACCACCACCACCACCATCACCACCACCACCACCACCCTCACCACCACCGTCACCACCACCACCATCACCACCACCAGAAAATCGAATGGAAGACAGACATATACTGTTTGCAGATGAAGAAACTGAAACTCGGAGAGACAGTGGAAGTGGGATTTGAACCCAGGTCCGTCTGACTCCACAGTCCATGCAAATGGAGAGGTGAAGAGAGGTAAGGAAGCAGGAAGGTGACAGATCCTCTGCAGCAGACAGTCTGCCTGCATATATGTTTGCTGGGGAGACACACAGGGAAGCCCAGGCCTGGCCCACAGGCCCGTGCTCTCTGCTGTGCACTGACCTCCACTTCTGTTTTCTTCTTTGTCCCTTTGAGCTTCCTGAGCAGCTCTTGGAAGTCAGTGAAACCTTACTCCACACAAACCTTTTCAAAGCTCTTCTTGGGTATGTACCTTGGACAAAGTCTCCAGCCTCTCTTTCTCCTTCTGCTGCTTCTTGTGGGGAGGGGGAGCTCTGGAAGGAGGAGGAGGGGACTAAGCTTGTGCTGAGTGTCTCCCTCTGAAGACAGAGGGAGCCTCTCCTAGCCTTGAGATACCCCTCCCAACTCTGTGGATTCTCGAAACTCAGGACCCCATGATGAAGCCTTTGAGAGACTCCAGCTGGGTGGGAAGACCACATCCAGGGCAGGGCCTCCCATCCTTATCTCTTGTGAGCATCTCCTTGAAATCTAGTTGTTTTTGATCCGAGGACAGAAAGGTGCACAGTGGGACAGAGACAGTCTAGTTGCTAAGAGAGGAAGTTGCCAGGAGGAGGCAGCCAGGCTGACGCTCTGTCACCAGCAAGGACATAGTGTAGGTAGGGTCTGTGTTCGTTGTTTTATCACGTATAGTTGTTGGAGTCATCTGAGGTCAGTGGTTCCAATTGGATCAGAGTCCTACCCTCAGGGGTTGGGAAGGGGGGCCACAGAGACTGTCTGTGAGATGGGAAAAGGGCTTTTTTTGGGCAGAGGGAGGAACCTGAGTTTATGTGTAAGTATGAGTGTATATTGCTGGATTCCCCCAGTAACAACATCTGCTTCCTCACCAGACTTTTTCCTTGGCTATGAGTTCCCAGGGACAGGGACCTTCTGAGTTATAATTCGTCTGCAGTTCTCCAGCGGTGGGTATTTCATTTAGCAATTTGCTCTTTGTCCCAGGCACTGGCCTCCACCCCAGAGGAAACAGGAGTGAATAAAATTGGCTTGGTTCTTGTCTACATGGTGCTTATAAGCCAGAGAGGCTTTCAGAAAGTGCTTGCCGACTCACTGGGCTTGTGTAGGGGGCATCCTGTAGGAGACTCGGGGGCAGTCTGTGTGTGGGCAAAGGTTCTGTCTGGCAAGGGAGAAGGGAACTTTGCCTTTCACAGTGGGAAGTGGGGAAGGACCTGAGTAATTATAGGGTCTCCCAGTGACCCGTCTTTCCCTTTCCTCAACCTCTGCAAGCCAGAGGCTGCGCCTGGGCACGAGTTCACAGGAAGTGATCCAGAATCTGTGTACCTTAAGGACAACTGACTGGTGGCAAGGTTCTTTTGGAGGGTGCAGGAACCCTGGGCCTCACCCATACCTATGACCAGTCCCTTGCTAGGTCCGTATGTCCCTCAATGTGGACTCCCTTCATCACTATGGTCTCCTTCCTCTTTTTTATTCCTCCTCCTCCTCCTCCTCCTCTTCTTCTTCCTCTTTCTTTTTTTTTTTTTTTTTTTGAGACAAGGTCTCTCCATAGCTCCAGCTGGACTGGAACTTGCTATGTAGACCAGGCTGGCGGTCCATCACAGAAATCTGCCAGCCTCTGACTCCCAAATGCTGGGACTAAAGGCATGTGCCACCACACCGGCCCTAGGTCCCCTTCTCGCTCGAGCCACGACCTAGCCACCCACATCCTAGCTGCCACCTCACTTCCATGTACCGACCCGACCCGTTTGGCCTCTGGCTGCTGTTGAGCATCCTGTCCTTCCCTTCGGCCTTGTAAGCTTGCCTTCTGGCCTGGCCCTGGCTGCTGCTTTGCCTCGCAGGTGATTTTGGGCCCCTGCTAGCTCTGGGAGTACCCCAGCCCCTCCCTCTTCCAGTCAGCCTCTTCCATCCTGTGGTGTATCTTTCCCCACGGCTGCTTTTGTGTTGCCATGGTGATTTTCTAGTCAGTGAGGGGGTCCCGGCCTCCACTTCCTCCAGCTCCCTGTTGGTGCTGTCATAGATCTTTGCGGTTGATGGGGATGCTCTCCCTCTTCCAGGACACAGAGGGCTTGGGGTTTCCCTGAACCCGGGCTCAGAACACGGCTTTATCTTCTGCGGAGGACCCAGGACGTTGTCGCTTCACAGCTTGCAGGCTGCCAGCGCTGTCCCCCTCCTTGCCTCTTCCCAGGGATCTGCCTGGGGCAGGGAAGGGACACCCGGCTTGTGTACTGGGGGACATTAGGGGTGGGGGCTGGAGAACAGAGCGGGGTAGGGAGACACGGGTGCGAGTGGCATACACTCAGGAGTGGCGATGGGATAAGTTCTCCATGAACTTGGGGACGCTCTCTCCTGCTGGGATGCTGCAACTCTGGTCACCAGGCTGAAGAACAGTCAGGCTGTGCTGAGGACTTCTTTGTCGTGACCTCCTCTGTGAGTCTGGCGAGAGGTCAGAAAGGGCTCCAGGTGGGAGCTCACCCAGGGATTGAGAGCTCATGCCTGCTTGAGCTGGTGGAACATGGACAGCCAGGGCAGTGAGGGCCAGAGAGGGCAGGGCCTGCTATGGCTGAGAACAGAGACCAAAGGAGTTGATGATCATTGCCCTACCTCAAATTTCAGCCAGGAGGGGTACTAACTCCTCTTCACCCCTCAATGGCCAAGCACCTTTATAGGGGGCTGCTGTGAGTTTTCATATATATATA